CAGTGACATATTTTGCTGGAATTCTAGTGTGTGTGTGTGGGGGGGGGGCAATGCCAAATTCAAAGAGGGTGATTTCTAGGTCATATTGGTCCTTTAAGGCTTTTCAGTGCCAGTCTTCCAAATTACATACACCCACATATACGTGCGTATACTCACGGAGGAGCCCATTGAGAATTATATCTTTGTATTGTCCTTCATTATCCTTTTCGTTCCTTTTATTCGTCCATTCTTATTACTCATAAACTGAATATTTAGTGAATCAAAATATTTCCCTCCTATGTTACAGAAAGAGATGAAATTTCTGCCACCGGGACTGAATTATTTACAATAATTTGTATGCTGTTATAGCAATAATTCTGCTGCTATACCAACACCTGCTTATTTTTGTCTTACACAGAACCTGAGGAATATTCTGGAATGGAACCTGGTGACGAAGTGGAGGAAGCTTTCAAGAGTGTTACGGCAGAACTGGAGACTGCAATCAAGCAGGATAGAGACGCAAGTGCTCTGCCTCCCCCACCTACTTCTGCAGCATCTCCAGATGATCTGACAGTGGACTGGGAGTATCAGTTACCAGCACCGCCATCTGCCTTCAGAGACTCTGATTCTCCCACTCTCACTGAGGGTGAGACGGTTATGTTAGCCGATACACAGGTATGGTAACCCATATCAGCCTGCAGTATACAATCTTTAAGCTTCTTTACTTTATTTTCATAATGTAAACAGTACTGAGCGGTCTAAGGCATGCACTGTCTTCGCTCGCTCGGAAACCGGGATCGTGGGCGCGAATCCCACTCAGGGCATGGATGTTTGTGTGCGTTTTTCTGTGTTTGTCTACAGGTAGAGGCCTTGTGACGAGCTGATCGCTCGCCCAAGGAGTCCTACCATATGTGTAAGATCTAGAAAAACCGAAGTGAACGGAGTTCATGGAGGAAGGCCTAGGCCCACTGGGGCTGTTGTGCCAAGGGGAAAAAAAAAATACTACCTCATCTAACAGATAGGAACAAACAGCTTTGAATGAGAACTGATTTCTATTTTTACTCTACTTTCCTTATTTTTAAAAAATTAAACTAGGCTTATGAGTTCACATTGCCATCTGTGTCTTCTCTTAACAACTTTTGAATGCTTGCTTGAGATAAGCTGCCCTAAAGTGGGGACACTGCCATTCATGAGGGCCATCACAAACATGCCCCTCAGACAAGAATAAATGGCAGTATGCCTGTGAGCTACTCAGGATGAGCAGCAATGAGACACGATGTCTGGAAGCTGGAAGAGTGGAGCCAAAAGAGACTGCCATTCCTAGGCAACAGCTTGGAAAACATGTTCTTTCAGCAACAAATACCATATTACTTCAAATATAAGATGCACATTCTTCACATTTTTTCCCATTGAGAAATTGAGGTGTCTTAAAATTGAGGAAATATTCACCAGTTTGCAAACCGTTCAGAAGCAGCATGAAGCAGGTAGCAATCAGAGCCCTGCATATGATAGAACTCTTCATAACCATCACTGTGAGAATAAAATCCTATATCCATTAATAAAAATGATTATTGTGAATTACTGTTTGCCAGCTTCCAAAACCAAGTCTCTACAACTGGATAAGCATATTTTTTATGCCCTGCTTCTTACCATAGGACTTGCATATTTATTGTGGGATATAACATTACTGAAATTAAGAGAATGTGTTTTTGTGCAGGTGTTTCGGGAATCCCCCTCATCACCAGAACCACAACCAGACACCCATCTGGCAGGATCTACAACCCTGAAGCTTCAAGAGGCTCTTGACTTACATCTCAACAGCGTGGTTCACAGGAACGAAGTAACTAAGACCAATCCTCTGTTTGATCCACTTCAGTGTGAAGATGATATTGGTGATAACAGGATGCCTGATGCAGTTTGTGAAGTTGGCATGGAAAAGTTAAAAAATTACTCAAAAAATGTGTCCCATATGGAGACAAAGTCTCAGAAGCAGAATTTAACAGAAGAAGAGTTGATGAAACCAAAGTCCTTGAGGGATAAAAGCCAAGTAACATCCACAATGAAAGGTGTTCCCAGAAGTGGAGAAAATGTAAATTTCACCATCACAACATACCAAAGACCTTTCAGCACTGACAAATTATTAAATGAAGACAGTGATAGTAACAGGACACATTCTGATAATCTGTCCACAGACTCATTGAAGGAGCAAACAAAAACAGTGTCTCACCACCATAAATATAGTTCTACCAGTTCACTAAACAGCAGTGCCGCCAGCCTATCAAGAACAAATTCCTTCAACGGTAATGATAATGGAACATTCACGCCTCCAGATCCAGTTTCAACATCACCTGTGAAGCGATCCACATCATACATCTCGTTAGTCACTAATCCTCTCTCTCACCCTGGAAATGGTTTCCAATCTGGCTCAACCAACACTTTACATACAGGCAAAACTAAGTTTGTTGGTAATATGGCAGCGCAAACACAGATGGATAAAGGCAATGAAAGAGTATATGAAAGCTGGAGTCTCAGGAAGACAACAAGTGAATGTAATGTTAGTCAGGTTCCACCAGAACATCACCAAGAAGGAACCAAGTCACAGACCACAGTGGAAGAGCAGAAGATTGCCCAAGTTGGACAAGACAAAGAGCAAGGCTCACAGAAGCAGATTATAATAACAGAAGAGGAGCGTGCACAGTTGCTGGCATTACAGGAGCAGTTCCTTCAACTACAAGAGCAACTTCTGCAGAACTCTGGTCTCATGCAGCAACAACAGCTATCACAGCCTCAGGTCCCCACTGCAGACACTCCCCTGCAGTCACTACAGGTGAGGGATGGGGTCACCATCTGTTATTGTACTATAAAACTTTTTATTAATAGATAGGCTGCATGGATATGAAAAACTGTTGCAGCTATCAGCATCATTATAGAATTTGTAACAATAAATCTATTGAGGAAACAATTTCTGTGCATGTGCAACATTTTTTTGCTCTTAAAGAAATTTCTTCAAAACTACCCAAGCTTAATAACATCAGGAGTTCTTGAATGACGGCTACATTTGTATTAAGATAGTAATCTTTGCTGGATACAATACACAATAATCAGTGGTGCTGCCTAGAGGTACACTATGATATTTTTGGCAAAGGTAGACACTGTGATATGATCACATGCACAGGTTCTACACTGTTTACTGCTGCCATCTTCCACTCCTATTTGTAACTACTTTCTATCATACCTAACAACAGAATAGTTAGTGTTGGCTTTTACATATAATGATATTACAGAATGTATAAATATGTAAATGACGTAACTTCTAGTCAAATGACACTGATGCATGTTTCATGAAAATTTGTATGTTGGTTTCAAAATTATTAGAGGGGGTGGAATAGGCACAAGGGCATAGGTATAATAGTAAGCATAGTTTTTCTTAAAACTGCGATAAGCATCAAAATAAATGGCCTTTAACACGTCTGTTTTCTTTTACAGGTTCTTAGAAGTATTCTGCCACAATTGAACAAAACAAAAGTTTTGTCTGATTACCAAGCAACTAGTCAGCAGCAGAAATCTGACAACTCAGCTTTTCTCAGGTAAAGTCAGCACATTTCTGAGATTCTCACAACATTGGCAGGTTCATGTAACCAGCAAACCCATTCACCAGATATGCTGGATCATGTGGAGTTGCACATTTTTGAGAGTTTTTCTCATGCAGTTGGCAGAATCATAATTCATTGTTTTTGAGATAACTTGATAAGAATGGTAAATTTTCTCTGAATTTTTTTGCATGAGAATTCTGGATGCTTGAATACCAGATAACTGGGAGTTTATTGTCCTTTTTTGCAAAAGAAAATAGTACACCAGACTATGAGACCTAAAGTGTTCATGGTAATACAATATCGGACAGAGAACATGGGTATCACCAGACATCATGGTTGAGTGGGTAGCACTTGGGCTTCCTGTTTAGGAATTTCCAGACCCAAATTTCAGGATAGACACTGGCCATCCTGATCATTCATAAAGCTTATAACACGAATAGAATGGCGTAGTCCAATTTTAAGTACATGTATTTCTGGATGTATCCTCTTTTTTGCATGCTTCATCGGCCTTGATGTTCATTTACTGCAGGCACAAATCCAGTGTTGCGAAACTAATCACACTACTGATCATGATGAGTCATAATTATTTTCCTTGTGCTTCACCACATGTCCATCAAATATAAAAAAGTTTAAAACAAAAGTTTTAGGTCTTAATGAGATATTATATGTCATGTACCAAATGTTTGTATGATGAGCTGTTTTTGAGAAAATGTACAAATTCTCATATGAGTTCAGTAGGGGTTACATGATATGAGACTGCCATGAACCAAAATTAAATTGGTTTGGCAACTTCTAATGTACCCCTCCAATACAAAATTTGATGAAAACCCATTGGGTTCTTTCAGATATGAAACCTGTGGACGGACAATTGAACAGATAGGGTCTCATGTAAATACATCAATTCTATTCACCTTGTGTAAAAAATGTTCTACAATTGCTTGACTTCTGCAGTAAAGATACTAACATAAGTGAACATATTTCAGCCATAATGATATGCTTTTCTTAAATTTTCAATAAATTAGTCTCTGATTTGTATAAATTATACAAAAACTGCAATAAGCCACAGACCTCAACTTATATAGCTCTTGAAAGAAGATATAAATCTGATTACTTCCCAATATACTTCATCTTAATGTACATTTGTCTTAAAATTACATACATCTCATTTGTGACTCTAATTTTATTACAGATCTGAAACTCTTCCTACAGAATTGGATCCAAAAGATTCAGAAGACTTTCCCAATAATGAGTCAGTTAAACAAACAACTGATGTTTCTTCAAACCAACAGAACATTGATGAAGAGACATCTAGCAATAATAACAGTGGTGAAAGGAAAAGGTATACATATACGGGTCCTCCAGCAATTAATTTTGCTACGTGGAGTGAACGACCAAAAAGTCAGGTTAGCATCAAGATGGACTGTGACTATAGGATAGGCATTGGTCAGGGTGGCCGCACGGATGAACGTAACAAAACTCCTGCTCGAACAGGAATGTCCGAGTCCAAGGATAAGATTTCAGCGGTCAGAAGTAACAATACAGACACGTTGCACGAGCCAAAAAATGATCATGAAGAAGTATTTGCTCAAAACAAGATGAACGGTAAACTAAACAGCTCACAACAAGTAACAGAAATAGAGCCTGCCTCACTTACAATGAGACTGATTTCTCACACAACAGCATCTGGTTTCCAGAAACCTGTGGCAGCAGCAAGAAAGAAGACTGGGTCATCTAGTTACATTGCTGGAGAAGCACAGCAATCCTATACACCTGAAGCCAAAGACATAACACAATCCTCAACAGCTGGTCTGCGGGTTGGTGGTGCCCTTCAACAGAATGATCCTTCACGAGTGCCAATTGTAAGAGCTGTTGAACTCAAGAAGTCCTTCATTCAACAACAGAATATGTACATCAACCCTTACAGCTTTCACAGCTCATCCACCATGCTGAACGGTGATGAGGGCAGTGGGCACCATGTTGTCAGTATGGTTAACCAAAGAAACAGTACTGCCCATCACAATGGAGGCAGTGATGCAGACAGTGCTGAAGAGACATTTGCAGGAGTTAATTTTCTGGCAAAGAGATTTTCAAGTGCAGGTTCATCACCAAATGGGCCTCCTAGTTTCCGCTCATCTCGGCCATTATCTTCCTATGGGAAGGTTGAGACTGTGAACACAAAAGGATGTGATAATGCAACTAGTTCACCTTATAACACCACTCTCTCTTACAAGAGTGTGAGCTCAACTAATCTGAATGCATCGAATGTAAATACATACCAAGATGCTCAGCTCAAAAATGGAGATAGGAAAGGCATTAGGAGGTATACATCTGTTATTGGAATTAGTAATGATATAGACCATAACCTGACCTTGTCAAGTTCCCAAGAACCAGCTTCAGAATCAAGCAGGGCACAGTCAAGAACATCAGGCCCTTCAGTGGTCAGAGTGAATGGTTTCACTGCTCCAAAGCAGCTAATGCCAGTTGTAAAAGGCTTCCAGTTTGCCTCTGCAAATGCTAATAGGGACATATCTGCCCCGCTACCTGCCAAAAACTCAAATACAACGAATGCCTCTCACACCAAGGTTCAGCGATCAGAATCAACATCTGCTATCAGAAGCTGGAAGACAGTCGATACTACTGACCATTCATCTTCTACAAATTCTAGTAACACCAAAACATACCTGCGACGAAATTCAAATGAATCAAGACCAGAACAAATGGTGGTGAAGGTTACAACAAAGAGTGCAGAATCAGAACCTCCTCCACCCCCTCCCCTAGCAGGATCCCTCCAGAAATCAATGGCACGACCGCGTCCAAGGACTCTACAAGCTCCTCAGCTCAGCACTCGGGATCAGCTAATGGATGCAATTAGAAATTTCGGTGGTCGAGGAAACCTGAAACAGGTTTGTGATAACAGGGACAGCTCCCTCAATGTTGTGCTCATCCGATGAACAGATATGTATATGCATTTTGCATGTGTATTGGTAACTACAGAGTTTGCCTTCATGTGCATCAGAGTTCCTAGCTAAAATGTACTGAACTTCAATATCTGGCTTAGCGTACTCCAGACTGTTTGAAGGAATGTGGGCTGTGTTTGGCCTAAGTCTGACTCACATTTCATTCTCTCCTAGCATAACTTAAAATAATCTATGATTGCATATATTTCCTGACTTCACTCTGCTTTCTTTTCAGACCTCCAGTGTTCTATAGTCCTTATTCCATATTTTTCTCTTGCTTCTTCTTTCCCACATTTAACCATCACAATAATTGTCTTATGCTTTCTGTTCCTGCCAAACGCTGGGCATAACTATAAAAAGATATCTTGCAGGAACTTCATTTTCTCATATTTCTGAACTTATGATGAATGTGGACTAAAATTATATCTACCTCCTTGGGTGAAAAAAAGAAATATGTCTACTTTACATAGCTCCTGGTTGAATCACAGAAAAAAAAATAAATTTAATGGTTTTATTTTCTAGGAATGTGAACATGATTCAAATTTTGATAATTCAAAATTCGTTCTCAGAGTGAGAAAAGCTCTGCAATTATTGAACCTCATACATTACATATGGGGGGAGGGGATTTTTATGACCAAAATTAGTTCAACCTCTATGAAGTAAAATGTGGTTTTAAATGGAATATAGTAACATTGGGTATTAATATTCTTCTTCTTCTTATTATTATTATAATTATATTTGTGCTAACTTTGTAATTGCCCTCTGTGGTGTTAAGTTTTCACGTAAATAAACATGAATTGAACTGAATTACGAATAGTTACCAAAATTTTTTGAACTGCTAAAAATATTGTCAGTAAAGAAATGTTTTCCTAATTACTGTGGAGTATTAGCAATAGGTACTTGCATCTAAAATTTATATATCATGTGTGGAATTAAAGTTTTAAGATATTTTGCTTCCCAACATATTCTTAACTATTTGTGAGGTTATGCTATGAAGAAATTTTTTGATTTGATGATGCATGATGTCTATGAAAGAGCAAGGACCATTGTTTCAGAAGGAAATGTTGCTTCTCATTGCCAGGCTACAAAATGTTCTCTCCTGAAGATGGTGGTTGCAGTTTTCCCCTGAAATATAGATAACCTATCTGACTGCATAGCATTATACACCAGAATACTGTGACCTTATTATTATGTTCTATTTCCTTAATCAGTAATCACTCATCAGCGAACAATTTTCTGTTATTTACATAACACAATTTGAATTTAGTAAAGAATGTAATCTGTTCACAATCATCTTGGTGCAGAGAAAATATTCGCAATTAATTGATGTTCCAAAAGTTAAATCTGAAGTTAGCTTGTGTGTGCCATGAAAAAGTATGTCACAGTTGGCATTCTGACTCAGTTATCCGGGGTAAAATATTCCCCATTTACAAATAAGGGTAGTTATTTTAAACACAAGTACAATCTCCTGTAATGTGATTCTATGGGGGTAATTATTGAGAGTTAGGTTCTTTTTATTTTGCTCTATTTTTTTTTCTTTGTCACTACAGCCCCAGTGGGCGTAGGCCTACCTCCGTGAACTTCTCCGTTCATTTCGGTTTTTCTAGATCTTACACATTCGGTAGGACTTCTTGGGCAGGTGGTCAGCTCGTCACAAGGCCTCTACCTGTATACAAACGCAGAAAAACGCACATACATAAACTAAACATCCATGCCCTGAGTGGGATTTGAACCCACGATCCCGGTTTCCAAGCGAGCGAAGACAGTACATGCCTTAGACCGCTCGGCTACCGTGACCGGCACTTTACTCTATTATTATTACTTAATATCAGGCCACTGAGACCATGATAATTTCTGCTGACATTCTTATTTTTAAATAAAATACAGACTTGTGGGTGAGGACCAGTGTCAGGTTCAGAGAAGTCTAGGATCCTGGCACATATATGAGACACTCTTCTAATTGTTGTTATATGCACATGTTCATAGGATATTTGCATATAAGTGAGATTTGAGAAAAAATGGATTGAAATAAGAGGTAAACTTCAGATATATATTTTCTTATAAATGATGTGAAGTCAAAACAGGTGCCCTGGAGCAACCGTCGCCTTGTTAATCCGGCCCTGATTATACCTAAATTGCATGGAGGATGTTGTAATATTGATATAGGGATACTGGTTCTATGGGAAGAATACAGAAATATTAAAACAATCATGTGTTGGTAGCCTTCATATTTTGCATGTGCAGAATATTTCCTGTCTTAGAATTGAGCCATATAACAAGCATAATGCTTCTGCTACAAAACAGATGTGTAGCTATCATTGCTGAACTGCACTGAAGTATGACTCAAATTTTTAATTTTAATTTTTAATTTCTTTTTGTAGACTGGTTGCAGCTGAAAACTGAGGCTACACAAGATATTAAATAACTGTGTTACTGGAAATAATATTTCTGAAAGCCAGTTAATTTAATTTGTTACTTTGATGGTTGTTTTCATATTCTCCTGGTCCACCAATCAGAGCAGACGGTATGTCACAACATTGAAAATGCAATGAAACACATGAGATGACACATCTCTGTGTTCAAATGACTTGTCTCAGGCAGTACAATTTGTATGTGTGTTTCATATAAATAGTTCTTGTAAAAATGGCAGGTAAGAAAATAGGATTCATTTCATAACTGCCTACTGCCTCAATAAAAGTTAGGTACTTCTGTCCCAAATTTCTTTAATTTCTCAAATACATGTCCATCATTTTCTCTGGACCAGTGTTTCTGAACGTCAGTCAGACAATGTACCCCTTGGCCTCAGAGTGAGGCTTCACATAACCCTTTTAAATGGTGACCCAACTTTTATCACAAACATGTCATTATGAATTATAAGCATGTCAAGATACTTTGTCATTTGAAAAAAAAAATGTATTTCTAGCACAGAGAAGGTTGTACAAAAGAGAACTGTCAAGATGTTTTAGACTTGTTTTGACCTGTGTTTGGCAATAAAGTTTATCTCGTGTATTCACTAATGAGGCATTGAATACGCCAGGTTGAGAACCACTGCTTTAGACTGTTACTGAAATTTGGTCTTGTTAACTCTCTTTGTTAGGTAATCAGGTTCAGTAATTATTTGTAGGAATGGCATGGCAAAGGAAAACTAAATCTGTTCCAGCAAAAGTACACAGTCTGACTGCATAATTGTGACACTGTCTCGCTCTGCTATAGTAAACTCTTTTGCTTGGTAATTTGTCATCATATCGAAGGAATCTGACACCATGGACAGACCTTTCAATATTTATACAATTTTAAGGAAAAGAAATGTGTAAACAACACTGTATCTTTATCATTTATAATTACTATGCAAAAGTTCAATTTTTGTAACTGTGGTTAAATGCAGGTTTTTGGGGATTACAGGAATATTATAAAACTGTTAAAGTATATAGGACATACATATACACTGCAAATAAGTAATGTAAAATATCCATAAATTTCCTTTGTAACAAGTATGAAAGGAGGACTTTGTAGATAACATACTTCTCTTTTGCAGTCTTGGGGACTGTAGAATTTCTTATGTGTGTGTGTGTGTATATATATATTCCAAGGTGTAACATAACCTCAGCAGTGGATATAGATATCAAATATTGTGATTTTGTTGTGTGCAGGGAGTATTCTTGCCACATTCCCCATAATAGCTCAACATATTATACCATTTTAGAGGAGTGTGAGAGCTTGTTACATTAATTTATTCGTAACCACAAAATGAACTGCCTTACAAGGGACAAATAAAAACCCTAGAATCAAAGTATAAGGTTACTTCAATTGTCTGTCACTTTAAGTTAGTCTCTGTGTTTGTCACACTCTTTGTTTTGACTGTATACTTTGTATTAAAAGAATTCTGTAAATGTGACTGGAAGAATTTATTATATTTCTGGATTTCCTTTCCAACACCCATTATATTTCCGAGGTAAAATTACATCACAAAATATTCACGGATTTTCAGATCAACCTATTTACCTTTCGAAGTTCCATCTCGAACGTAAAATCACACGTAATTATTCAAGGATTTTCAGATCAAGCTGTTTACCCTTTGAACGCAGTTCCTTCTCGAACGTAAAATCACACGTAATTTTTCTAACAGTTTTTTCGTTACAGGCAATTGTTTGGAATTGTTGCAATTACACCGCAAAACCAAAATCCGAAGGGTCTGTGAAGCGTCTGAAGTGACAATGGCTGTTGTTGATTGGCAATGATTGGAAATTCTCATGTATACCGGAGCAACACTAGCGTGTTGATACCACAGTTCGTATCTCATATATATGCATTCCTTTTCTTTAAAGTGTTCAATTATTGCAATTAAATTATGATATATTTCATTGCATTGGCCCTTCAACGAATCTCTATTCTTTACGCCACGCACTGGGCGCCAATTAGTTTCGAAAAGGGGGAGGGGCTTGTGAGAGAATGGGGGGAATGGAGGGCGGCGCTTCGCGCTCCAATTGCAATCGATTTTCTCTGGGCCGGCGACTGTCTGTATCGCAGATACCGAAGTCTCCTCCGTTTGTCTTTACCCTTACTCCTTCCGTTGATTGCTATCAGGTGGTATATGAGGGCGGCAAGAGGTCAGGTATGGGGCGCCAGTAAACACAGTAGGGTGCTTGCAATTAGAGGTGGTACCTCTTGGGTAAGGGTTAGTTGGAGATAACTGGCTCTGCTCAGGATTCGATTGGCCGGAAATCTTATTTCAAGGTCTTAACAGGCCTCAGTAGTAACGTGGTAGTGGCGTGAAACTGACCACTAACCTCCAACTAGTGCCAAAGTTAAAAATACATGGAGTTATAGGCACTTTCGCCTCCATATATGTCTTAATGGAATGCTGCTTAATTAGGCACAGGGGCAGTTTTATGGGATAAAATTGTAGAAGAATTAGTGAATAATAAATTTTAAATGATGTGAACGAATGTTGTGGCCTAATTTAAAGTATTATCCCGGCATTTGTCTAGAGGAACTGAGGAATATAACACAAACTTTCTGTCAGAATGGATGATTTTCTGGTTGAGACTCAAATCGGGCTTCTCCTGAACATAGGGGAGAAGGTTTATCATTTGAGTCAACTTTCTGAGTGGTATGGTGGTATTACTGGAGAGGTAATGTGTTTAAGAGTGAAAAGGTTGGGGAATAGAGGTTAGCAAGAGACAGAGTGTAGATTTTGAATATATAATACCTTATTTTTGTCTCATTCCAGTGTCTGAATCAAGTCTCCAACTAGTGGAGGAAGATCACTCCTACCCTTGATAGACTAATTAACTTACCATTTAAGTAAGGGTAAATAAGATGACAACCTCCCACTGGATTAATATCTTAATATGGTGGGGAGGCTTGCATGCCCTATCAACCTGGAGAGCTCTGCTAGCAGGGTCATTATCTCCTGATATAGTAATCCAAGCTAGACAAATTGAAGTGTAGGGCCCAGATGAAAGGAAACCTCTGCTCCTCTAGGTTGGGGATTGGGTATTAGGCTAACAACCTCAATCCTTATTATCAAAGTACATGTCAATAATGCAACAATCTAAAAGACATCAAGAATATGTCACTAAAAATGTAAATGTAAATCATCAGGTGATCATGTCATAAACTAGAAAAAAAAAAGATAGACCTGATGATGGCCCATGTGCTGCCAAAACATGTCGTAAACTAGGAAAAGAAAAAAGAGAAAAAATATGTGTAAAACTAGAGACAATGTAGAAATTTTGATAATCACTTTTAATGTAAAAAATATACTTTTAGTGTCCTATTGACATTTTAATGATTTTAACATCATAAAGTATTAAAATACATTTTTAATGAGTGACATATTCTTGATGCATAACCTCAATTTGGAAAGCAATATGCAGTATGTGAACAAACCTAATGAAGATTGCTGGATGGACAATTTAGGGAAACAGCTAAGGAGAAGATGTGAGGTAGAAGAAAACGAGATTGAGTTGGCTGGAATTTGTAGAGAATGATTTATCAAAGTTGGAGGTGTAAGGAAATGACAGAAAAGAATGTGTATCTGATGTACAGGAGGCCAAGGTTCTTGGAGAGCTGTAAAGTGAATTGTCTATGTACTGAAAAAATATGATTCAAGGTCAGCTGGACCCACACATGCACCATCATAATACTGCAACAAAATGCCAATAAAAATCTATTCTGGGTAATCCTTTATTTTGTTCTGTTTTATAATTTTCTTTCAAAGTATTTATATGTTACATATTTCAATACAAATATATGACAGAACATTCATTCATACTCACAAAATAAATACTGTCTCTCAGTTTCAAGCACATGAAGTTAATATTACAAGATTTAAGTTGTAAGAAACAATTGAGGTTTGCTTACAAGTAGACCACACAAAAATTTTATCTGAGTAATTCAGGGACTGTTTTTCATAATTGGCATTCCATTACTAAGAAAAGGGATGATGAAGATTTTGATGGCGGGACCAAGACCGTCTTTGGCTTCATAGGAATAGGTATTCATTATCTAACCCTAAAAAGTTAATGATGAGGAATCAGAATATTACATCTACATCCTGTATCATACAGCCAGTATATTCTGAGAATATGGAAACCAAGTAATGTTAGAGAAGAAACAGAAGCTAAAATTGTGTTACTAAAGTTAGAAGAGAAACAATTACAGTGGCTTGGTCATGTAGGAAGAAATGAATGGAGCTAGGATGCTGAGAAGGGCTTTAAAATTAATGTAAAGTGAACAAGGCCTACGAAACATTCAGAACAAAATGCAAAGCCAGGTACTTGAAGACACAAAGAAGAGAGGAAAGAGCTGGTAAGAGAATGAAAATGTTGGAAGGCAGAAGAGATTGAAAATATCATATTTGGCCATAGTAAACACGGCAATGAAAATATGCCAGGAACGCCTAGATGCTTGTAATTTAAAATTATTATTTAACACCTATCATTCGTATAGTGTTCCTTGGTCACACTTGTGCATACCTCAAGAAAAATCACATTATATACATTTAATAAATAAAGCTATACAATTTCCTCTTCTTGGAAACTTAACTTGTGACTAGGGAAATGGCACAATGGGAGCACTGGCTTCCATCCAGTAAGCATATTAACATTTTTGTCTTTAAAATATCAGTTTGTAAAACACTTGTTTCTTTAACGAAACAAACCTTCATATGACTCGATATTTCACTTAAAGTTTCTTGAATGTCATACTAAAACACTGTTTCTTTCAATTAAATTAGGACCGCAGCCTGACTATTTACAGGAATGTCAAAAGTATTACATATACTGTGCAATGAAGACTTTTACCATGCTTGCACTTCTATCAAATGATACTATATAGTACGAGGCAGATTAAAGTCTTCTGGGTTGTAACATCATGTAATCTTGTATGTGGATAACAAAATTTCACAAGGACATGCTACCTCCATCTTCATGGTAAAATTGTGTATGGTAAGGAACTGCTTGATTTATACGGGCAGCTCGCAAAGAAAATGGTCACTCAGACCCACTGGAGCTGCGAGGAGATAGAACTCGATCCATGACCATCTTCAGGGTATTTATGTATTTGTATGCAGGTATGTAAAAGGGCAATTTCTCTGTTTTCAGTGCCTATTGACCTGGACCCAAATTCTGAGAACTTTCCCCTTCCCATGGAGCTAAGTGACCATTTTCTTTGCAACATGTCTATACAACCCAATCAGTTTCTCACAGTTCACAGTTCCATCCTCAAAATAAAGGCAGCATGTCCCTGAAATACTGACATCCACCTACAAGCCTACAGTTTCACATCACAGAACACAGTAATCCTGAAATTACATGGTACTTATCAGCATAAGGGCTAGTCACTGATTTTTCGATGTAGAGTCCTTAGGGTAGCCTACTTAGATTTGTGTTGAACAACGAGGCACTGGGAAGATTTTCTCCAAGAATTTCAATTTTATATTAAATTATAAGTCTGTTTTGCCTTACTAAGTACAACATATGCATTTCAGCTTAGGTACCCTTATTTTTTCAAGAGTCTTTGAATTGAATATCACACTTTCTCTACAAGAATCAGGCCACTTTTTTCCCTGACTTCTCATTGATCGATGTAAAACAAGTACATACCAGTGTGTATCTTAACCACTGGTCTTACATATCCCAAACAACTTCACATGCCCAAATATATGACTGTTTTATACCACATTGTTCAAAAAGGCTTCAAGAAGTTATTTCTCAGATGAATCAGCATTCTACTTATGCACAGTGGACTGGAATGACTGAATTTTGGGTTATCTAACAAGCATTGTAATCCTTTGAAGCCAGAAGTTAATTTAAGTTAATTTAAATAACATTTAAAAATCCAGTTCCTTCTTCACATCAAACAAAGAGCATCTCCATTACAAATACGAATCAGTTAATGCTGTTTAGTAAAGAAATCACTGCTTATTGAGAATCAGACAAGACACATAAGTACACCCTGTCAATAAAATACAGAAATTTATAACATTAATCCTTTGAAGCACTGTGATGACTATATGTATCATATGCTTCAGTAGTGTGAAAGTAGGGTGGGGTGATGGAAATTGGCTGAGGTAGTAGTGTTTCTGACTTGCATATGGGAGGTGCATAGTTCAAATAACCATCTATGCAGCAGGAACTGAATCTTTAAATATTTTATAGACAGAATTCAGACTTCAAAGCGTTAAGAACACAAGCAATAGTTTGTACATCTGCAAGATGTCAGCTGGTTCAGGCACCCAAATGTCAGTGTGTTAATATTTCTCATTACTTGATACAACCTCAACATTTGTGTCAATGTTCTCATAGATCTGGACCCTCTGGAGCCCGAGCTTTGTCACAGCCCCTTCATGCATGTATTGTGGGATATCCAAAAGTTTCTGACTAGCACTATACTACAATTGAAACTTAAATTACTTGTGCGATATGTTATGTTTTCACATGACAGTGCATTTAAATGACAGTACAGACAACAAGCAGAATTATTTGTGCCTTAGCGAAAAATCTGGGGGACTTCTTGGGGTGGAACAGTGCCGGAATGTCAACCTCCAGAATGCAATTCGAAAATCTGGACTGTAGAATGCGTAGATGAACGGATTGATGGCTGAATTGATCCAACCTGAAACAGATGAAATACGAATGAATCCATGTTCAAAAGGCATATAATTGGAAGATATGCAGTTTGGAAGCCTATTTTCTGTCAATAAGTTGTCTAGTTTTGCTTTGCAGAATGGAATGTGTCACAAGAGACCTTACATTTCATAAGAATAATCCCTTCTGGGTAATGATGCAAACATTTGCACTTTCGCTAGAGACTCTTGACAGATTGTGACACAATTATTGGTCTTGCAATATTTTAGAATTTATTTCCTGCAGTTCTATTGGTATTTAATAATCCTTGGCATCAACTGTGTGTGACATTGGAAGCACCAGAGCAAATAGAGGAATAAAACAATATTGCTGAGTTACAAACTAATGACACATACTGCATAGAAAGCACCATGTCCAACAGTTCTTCTGTTCTTGGGTGTGTATTCATTGCCATGGGAACTTGTTTATCTTTCCAACTCTTTGGGCTCCACTACTGTGGCTCTAATGCATTGGGTGCATACGAAGGTGATCTCATAAGCATCCTCTCATTTTTTAGCTTGCTTATGGTAAATGTAATATACACAGACAGACACACAGAGATGCTGAGATCTCATAAGCCCCCTATTTTTTTCAAACTAAGGAAAGTAGCCTAAGAAAGATGCAGCTCCTTACTTACATTTTGGGTCTGAAAGGATTAATAAGTCCAATGAACACCCAAGAATATTTTATTGAATTCATTTGCCATAAAAGCTTGCAATCCAACTGAAGAATGTTTCAGACAAATGTAATTGAGGCTTAGAATCAACAAATTCATAATCACTTACCCAGCCATGTGAGAAATGACATGAGTATTGGCGGGATTTGAACGAATGGCGTAAGTAGATATATGATGAAGAACGGGAGCCAGCATGCAACGAAGCCGCCTACCACGATGGAGAGAGTCTGCGCCGTCTTGCTCTCCCTCCTGAAGGATGAGACACGGCTTGATGGTTGCAGAGGGAGGGACATGGTCTGCATGCGGATGTCCACTGATGTCACATCCAGTGCAAGGGATTCTGGGCGCGATGAGTTACGACTGTAGAAGCTCAGTCTGGAGAGCTGTGTGGGGATAGGCTGGTGGTGAATTGTCCCATCATCACAGGTGGAGGGACAGTAACTGTAGTGATGGGAACGGAGAGGTCGTTGAGTGTGGTGGTGGTGGTAGTGGTGATTATGGTTGTGCTGCTGATGACAAGTAAACTGGGTGCCATCTGCATTGGTGATACTAGAAACACATAACACGTAAAATATCATGTCAGCACCGATTAAAGCAAATAGGATCTGTACTGAGGATGGTGTATGACAATTGGGATTAATGGGTTTTTGGACTTTGTCCATCATCCGATATTCTAAAGAAAACTGAAGAACAAAGTCCAGTGAGTGCAATTAACTATTCATAATGCAACTAACGGAGCTGGTGTCTCATAGCCTCTTGTCTGAGGACAGAAGCAGATCAAATTTCCAAAACGTTGTGTTCTTCAGATTAACAGATGATGGACAAAGTCCAGAAACCTATTAATCCCAAACAGAATCTGATTTTCACAGAATTAATTTAATTTTCATAACGTAACTGTGTATAATCTAGTAGATATTTATGCAGTTCTCATTGGTTCGCTCTTAATATCAGCCCTTGTCAACTTGTCCCCATACAACTAACTGCTCTTTCTTACACGTGGCTTGCTCTTATACCCAGAAGACTGAGGTAGCAAGTTCCTCTGATAGGATTGTACCTATTGATCAAAATGCATAATGCCACATCTCAGAAGACATCCAACTTTATAGTAATCACCACGTAATTCCCAAATCTCTAGCAGCTATATACATGGGTCTCATACATCCACATTAAGCAGATCAAGAGGAAAATAATTCTACGCATGAAACGTCCAACAAGTTTCAAAACTGTGGGAATATCTACCAGAAAGGGGAGGATATCAGGTGGCTCAGTTCACTTACCTGGAGCACCTTCCTGCCAGATGATTCCCTTCCTCATATTCTGATGATGCCCGTTCCATGTCTGACTCTTCATGGTTATTCACAAGTCTGCTTGACCTCTGTGACAGAAACACAAGGAGGTGAAGGTTATGTTTCTAAGTGGCTGCAGTAACCCTTCCCAACTTTGTTTCAGCACGAACACAGAATCTCAGTGGGTGAAGACCATTACTCAAAGAAAGAGACAGAGTGGTCTGCTACCCTTCCCATACCACGGTGTATCAACTTCTACCATTAATCATGTGAGTAGCAGTGGTTTCTCACATGAGAGCTCAAGTGGTTAACCACCACATGTTTTATGTTTTAAAGTACTATATCACACGCCAGATACAATTATTGACTGTAACAAAAGTTTCTGTGAGAAGCAGCACGAGTACAGAGTGTTTCAGTGACACTGTCTGTCAATACTGCATCTATATTTGAGTTCTTTGAATATATAGGTGGGTTGACAATATTAAAATGGATCTTAGAGAGATAGAATTGGATAGTATGGGCTCCATCAATCTGGCTCAGGACAGAGACCAGTGAAGGGCTCTTGTGAACATAGTAATGAACTTTTGGGTTCCATAAAATGCTGGGAAGTTCTGGAGTAGCTGCACAACTGGCTGCATCTGAAGAAGGGCTCAGCTCCATCAGTGACTGATTTTTGAGTACCTTGTGTAGTTGATTTAATTTTAGCAATCCTTTGTAAGATTTGAGGCTTTCACGGCGGTGACTATGAAGAAAGCAGTCTTGTGGGATTTGGCACCGTGTATATGTGGTGTTAACCGACGTTTCGGAGGAACGTCCATCTCCTCCATCTTCAGGGTAGAAGGAAAAATATAAGAAATCCAGAAGACTGCTTTTACCGGTTCTCGCGGTCTCTTCACTTGCGGATTTCTTATATTTTTCCTTCTACCCTGACGATGGAGGCGATACATTCCTCCGAAACGTCGGTTAACACCACATATACACGGTGCCAAATCCCAGAAGACTGCTTTCTTCTTAGAAATCCTTTGTTTGTTGAAAATGCCTACTAAGCAGTTAACCCTATGAAATGAAAAAGCCCGTAGCATCACAGTAGATGTAATTTAGTGTTCTGTGAAATTTAAGGAGAATGAAACAAATGAGGGGTATTTACAAATCAAGAATACTCTATGACTATCAACCTTAACAAAGCAAGGTAAACAGTTCAATCTATAAAGATGGTATTAATTATCAACAAGATAATATTCTTGGAATAAAGTGTATGATCTGATTAATATTCACTTAAACGAATACTCATCTAAAATAAATGATAATTTTTCTTTTGTTGATTGTGGGGGCAAGCGGTAGTGTAGTTGGTTGAGGGGCTATGCTCCAAGCTGGAAGGTCACGGGTTCAAGTTCTGATGAGGTTAATGGATTTTTTTCAATTGACCTAATCCTTTCAGCTACACTATGGCCCTGGGGTTGACTCAGCCTCTAACAGAAATGAGTCAGAAATGAGTACCAGGAATTAATTAAATAATTTTCCTGCAGAGTAAAGCGTGGCCAGCATGTAAGGCCGACAACCTTACTGCCATCTTTGAGCTGATTATCTATATAATGTGGGACCCTCAACGTCTCACAACCCTATGGGCCTTCATGTCCTGGTACAGGGATAGCTTTACTTTTACTTTTTTTTATGATTGATTGACTGATTGATTGATAGATACCATGAACCTAATATGTAACACACCAAAGTTTGGGGAAAACCACAAGCAATGACAACAATAATAACCACTCTTCAAAAGAGGTTTGAGCAAGCTGCATCTCATAGTATGCAAGACTAAAATCGAGTCAAGGAAAGAAAGGGCACACGTTCCTCCAGCCACATATTTGCCTAGATCTACCTCCCCTCTGTATGTCCTCCCCCTACTCCCATTATTTGTCACTTGAACTCCGGCTTTTGTTCCTTCTATGGACTCCCCATATTTGAATTCTCTGTTTGCTGCTGAAATACATGGATATATTAAGAATTAACAATGGAAAATCATGTCTTCTTTCATGTGGGTTACTCCCTGTATTTGAATTCTCTGTTTGCTGCTGAAATGCATGGATATGTTAAGAATTTACAATGGAGAATTATGTCTTCTTTCATGTGGGTTACTTAACGATGCTTTCAGTATTGAGACTATACAGAGTCAGAAGTTACAGGAATAGATGAGTGATGAATTGGAAAGAATTTGGAAAGAAGCTATTGTGTCCTAACCAAGGTACTATTGTGGAATTTGTCTGGAGAGACTGACGTAAAATACGTAAAGCTCAGCCAGATGAGCCAAGGTCCTGTTCAAGACTCCAACTGAGCACCTTCCAAAAATAAGTCTAAAATATCACCTCTGGACCAACTTCTTTGTGACAAATAATGTCATTTAAGCATATTAAATTAAATCAAATATAATTAAGCCAATGTCAGTAATAATTACAGCTAAACAATAATGAAATGTGCTTCATTCTGCCTAAAACAAGGAGTGAGCCTCACCTTTTGCTGGAGAGGAGATATGCAATGTAAGGTGGCTGTAGTTCACTACCGTTACACCGGATGTGAACACTGGCCTGATTTGCATCGTTCTAAAGGATGCTAATTCCTGATCAGGTTTGACTAACCACAAATGTAATCATATTAATCGACAGAAACAAGGGTGACTAAGAAAATTCTTGAGAGTAAGCCAGAAGGCAGCAGAAGTGGGAACAGGCCCAGATTGAGATGGCTGGAAATAGCAGAGTGATTTATGGAACCTGAAAGTGAAGAGATGAAAGAAAAACAAAAATAACACAAAGAATGAGCATCAGTTGTAAAGGAGGCCAATGTTCTTAGTGGATAATATAACCAACAGGTAAGTGGGAAAGTATTAATTGATATTGTGGCATGTCTGCTGAAAACCAGAATTATGAAACCAGCACAGGCAGCCGTCATTAGGGAAGGGCTCTGCAAACACGCCTGTTGCTAGGCAATAGCTCAGTAGCCGTCACATGATGGTTGTAACGGGCATGCATGCAACAATAAAACAGCTGTTGGAAGCTGCATTTTCTGTGGTCCATGTCGAGGCTATATAAACAGGAGCAGCTGCCATTACCAGTCAGAGCAGAAAAACGTATATGTCCAGGAGAGAATACAAATTTTTGTCATGTGACTCGAGTAGAATGAAGCTAGAAATGACTGTATTGGCGAAAGCCAGCAGCTATTTAACTGACTGACCGACCAACTGACAGACCAACCATCCCATCCTTTCATCAAGATGGATGTTACATAAGAATTATAACCGCAAGGGTTCAATCAATATATATATATATAAAACCTCCGGTCGTGAGCCTCAAGAGGTTTGACGCCAAGACAAACTGATAGGTGGTAAACCACGATCCATAAAGTAACTCTGTAACGCTGACTGACCAGTCAGTCTGAGTAGAGAGAGAGAGTCTTGAGCAGGAAGTTAGAAAAGAAAGAGTTTGGTGTGAGATGGCCGCCAGCCTGCAAGTACGTGAGCCCGGGAGGGGAGGAATGTCAACTGTTGGAAGACGTTACAAAGTAGATCAGTGAAGACCGTGACTGAGAGCACTAGTCCTTGTGTGATAGTGATTTCTAAATTGTAGTCACGAGTTGTGCGTTAAAGTATCCAATAAATATGATTACTAATCCAAACCCTGTCTACAGTCACTCAGACACATGACAATATTAGCTGACAGACAGACAGAACAGTACCTGGTCATTATTGTCTAGAGCAGTCAGCTGATTGTGTCGCTGAGCCACCACACAGGAGATTCGGGTGTAGACATATACCATCACAGTCAATGGGATGAAGAAAGAGCCCATTGCAGAAAACACAACATAGCCCCTGTTGTTGTTATAACGACAGGTCTTGTCTTTGTGGTGATCTGGGTCATACCTGCAACATGCCAAGATGAACATTATAATGGTGTGGCCAAGTAGATTGATTCTGTGAAGAATTTATCACATATACTATCCTTTAAATTCTTAAATGTATTTAAATGATAAGGTTAGAAAGAAACATGAATTCATTATTATGAATAGTGTATTCCTCAAGTTTGTCTGTAAACTAGAATTCTGAATAGAATAAAACGTTTGTCAAATCTCATCTGTTTCCAACATGAAATGAAAACTGGAGTGGATGGAAAGAACTCCAGTTTCTGAAACGCTGTATTTTGTTTGTTTCTTTTTTGTAGCGCTCCTTCGTAACAGCCCTTTAAACCTGGCCAAATATTTTCTTGACAGACCTTGATACAGTATATTTTCTGCCTTCTTGCTTGAATCCCAGAACACTCTAATATTATAATTAAAAAACTACTCACCAGCCAAATATAGGAGGACAGGTGATTGCCAGGGCTGCGAGCCATACAGCGAGTATCATTAGGAGAGCAAGTCTCTTGGAGCGCCTTCTGCGTGAGTAGTTGAGAGGCTGTGTCACAGCAAGATACCGGTCAACACTAATAGCACACAGACTCAAGATGGAGGCTGTGCACAGCAGGACGTCCAGTGAGATCCAAATGTCGCAAAGCACCCAGCCCAACTCCCATGACCCTGAGCACATTCAGCTGCCATTGTACATTTTGAAAGAGTTCTGTGCAAAATACTCGTAATACTTCTTAAACACAGGGATTGAGATTTAACATGATCCATTATTGTTGTTGCACCAATCACAGTGAGTTAAAAAACCAGCATCTAACGAAATCAGTCCTTTAATCAGCGACCACATGGCCTACAGGCTATGGTCCTTAGGCTATCTTCAGGAGTGACCAATCTACAATAAAAGGAAATCTAAGTGTTTGGTTTTAAATTTTACATTAATTACTTAAAACTAAATCATAGATATCAACATTTAAAATATTAGTGGATACTGTCACGATTTTTCGCAGTGACTGTAGACGGGGTTTGGAATGATAAACGGATTTATTGGACATTTATACACACAACTCATAACTATAAGCAAGCGTAGTGTTATTGTTAATTCACACTCTGCAATTCACTACAGTACACACTTGGTACTTCTTATCCTGCTGTGTCTTCAAGAGTTTTCTGGCAACGGCTTCTAACGACGGACGTTACCCTACCTCTGGGTTCCCAAGCTATCCCCATACCTGAACTACCAGCTTCTAATAGCAACAGCATACAAGGACTGAACCACAGCGTTCCTCTAACTCACTCACTCACCAACCAACTCCAACCACTGCACTGGCTAACTCCCGGGCTGGCGGCCCCTCACAACAATTTTCTACTTTTCTCACTGCCGTTTAAAGATTCTCTTCTAATGGCAGCTTGTCCTCCTTATATATCCTCAGCACGGACCACACAGAAATCACCACTTCCAACATCTCTCATATTGTGCGTGCGTCTGTTGAGACCATTACCTAGCAACGACCGTTGTTTGTAGAGCTCTTTCTTTTCTTCTTTCTTCTTTCTGTGGCGCTACAGCCCCAATTTGGGCTTAGGCCTACCTCCATGAAACTCTCCGTTTCACTTCAGTTTACTAGATCTTACACATTCGGTAGGACTCCTTGGGCGAGTGATCAGCTCGTCGCAAGGCCTCTACCTGTAGACAAACACAGAAAAATGCACACAAACATCCATGCCCTGACTGGGATTCGAACCCACGATCCCGGCTTCCGAGCGAGCGAAAACAGTGCATGACTTAGACCGCTCGGCTACCGTGACCGGCTAGAGCTATTTCTTAGCAACTGTTATTGTATAGCTGCATAGTTTGCGGTCGTTGCCTAGCAATGGGTTTACATGCCACAATATCTTATATCGCGTTGATACAGAATGATCATGAAGTGTAAAATCAGTAGTCATTCGTATCTCCCACGTGTAATATTTTGGAAGCGTTTGTTTAGCCATAACCTGTGACATTGTCCCTTTTGGTATTGTTACGTAGAATCCGCGTTACAACATCAAAATATACAGACTTCCACAGCAAGACAATGCCACATGATACAACTAAACAGATGCCGCAAAAATAGGTGTGAGGCATGAGTGACAAAACAAACAAACAAACAAAATATCAAGTAGTTACTATAGGATTCTGACGATGGTGTATAACACACTGATATATTGGGTTTTTGGACTTTATCCATCGTCCTGGTTTTTATTAGTTATCTTAAAAACCAGGACGATGGATAAAGTCCAAAAACCCAATATATCAAACAAAATATCCCCTGGCTTTAGTCCGCAAGCGAACTATACCGACCGAGGGACCGCCGCTTCATTTTCCTACTGTGTTCTGATTTTTCGCGTAGATATTACTCTAAGCATATACACATAACTATGTTTAATTTTCATATGATTTATTTAATATTAATGAACAAATTGCAAGTTTGTATTTGCAGTTGTTTGGACGCTCCTGATGATTGCCCTCCGGAGCGAAACCTGTAGGGCATATGATAATTTACTGATTAACGGGCTGGTTATATTATGGGATACTTTTGAATTCAATATAATTTGGGGTTGCACTGCGTGTTTTGACTTAAATTCATAATCAAAATAGTTAATGGCGAGATCATGTGTATACATTTGTACGGTCCATTTCACAAACCAATAATAGATTCTGATTAAATCTGGTATGTGACATCTGTTAGGAGCCGGGATAGCGTAGTCGGTATAGCGACTGGCTATGGGCTGGAACACCGGGGGGGGGGTGTCGGAATTCGAGTCCCGGTAGGGTCAAGAATTTTCTCTTCTGCACAGAGTCCAGACCGACGCTGATGTCCATCTCACCTCCTATTCAATGAATATCTGGATCTCTCTTTTTTTTTTCTGTGGCGCTACAGCCCCAATTTGGGCCTAGGCCTACCTCCATGAAACTCTCCGTTTCACTTCAGTTTACTAGATCTTACACATTCGGTAGGACTCCTTGGGCGAGTGATCAGCTCGTCGCAAGGCCTCTATCTGTAGACAAACACAGAAAAACGCACACAAACATCCATGCCCTGAGTGGGATTCGAACCCACGATCCCGGCTTCCGAGCGAGCGAAGACAGTGCATGCCTTAGACCGCTCGGCTACCGTGACCGGCATCGGGATATCTATCCCCGGGGGTAAAGCGGCAGGGGCGTGAACCTGACCACTCACCTCCAACTAGTGCAGAGGTCAAGAAAATGTAGATCTATACATCCACTCAACCATACGTAGTGCTTAATTAGTTAAGCAAAGGGACAACTTAAAAATGGGATATTTGATATATACGAGTATATAACTGTTCTGTCTGTTGCGAGTTCGACATCGATGACCTGGTGGAGAATACCGATCTATTTCTCCGGGTCGTGGAGCTACCACTCACCTTCATCTGCAGCTAAGGTAAGGAATGCGGGGAGATATACATCTATAACCTACAAGTTTCAATGGATGGTGTCTAATTAAGCGGGGGAACAAATTTTTCTGCACATTAAAAAGGCTAAGAATTGTCTGCTTCAGCAGCCATATGTCGAACCTAAATTTATAAGTAAGTTTGGAAGCTGGGAAGTTAAAAGGGACTTGAATGACGTGCAGTTGTTCCTGTGTTTGAAGAAAATCCCTACACCTTTGTTAAGATTACTGAGTTGTGTTTCTATTAACAACCGGCAGCCATCCGCTTGATGATAACACGATATGAATATCAATAAAAAGCATAGTGACTTCAATTTACCCATTATTTGGAGAGCAACTGCTGGAGGCATTACAGAAATCCCGACCAGCCAATCAGCAACAGCAAGCGACATGACAAAGCAATTCGTCACAGTTCGAAGTCTGCGTGTTGTCATCACTGCTACTATGATTAGGGTGTTACCAACCTGCAAAAAATAATCTTTTAAGTCAATTTACTATTATATCAGTAAATGGCAAAGGTAAAGTTGTCCCCGTGCTTAACTAATTGAGCACTACGCCATGAAGGCGTATGGGGAGTGGAAGTATAGATCCACATCTTCTTGCCCTCGGCACTAACTGGAGGTGAGTGGTCACCTGCCGCTTTACTCCAGGGGAAATAACCCCCGGTACCCATTGGATAGGAGGTTGGGTGGACCCCAGATCCGGTTTGGACATGGAGAAGTGAAAATTCTTACCTCCACTGGGACTAGAACTCCGATCCCTTGGTCGTCGAGCCCGTAGCCAGTCGCTATACCGACTGAGCTATGTCGGCTCTTATTATTACGTCAGAAACAACAATAGCAATAATAACAATATTAATAATAGTAACAATAAATTAAACACGACAATAATAGCAACCATATAATTAATTTATCTTGAATTATATTTTCTGTATCTACCGCTATAAATTTCTTCATCATAAAGTATTTACGAAATATATCTGTGAGGGACAACTGTCCCCGAGTTATACTGTGCCGTTTCATAGAAGAAAAGGAGAAAGTCAGACATATGCGAATGATCTACTCTCTCTACATTTCCAGCCCACCTTGGTCTCATATATTTCACTACCATAAGAACACCATGTGACCTGTATAAATGACAGAGTTCTTCGATATGTAATATTCTAAAGTAGTTACTATAGGATTCTGACGATGGTGTATAACACACTGATATGTTGGGTTTTTGGACTTTATCCATCGTCCTGGTTTTTAAGATAACAAATAAAAACACGACGTTTCGGAAACTGGATCTGTTTCCGTCCTCAGGTGAAGGAAAACACCTATTCAGTTGGGTCCCTTAGAAAGAGCTAGCCTCAATCACTGGACAAACTGAATAGGTGTTTTCCTTGACCTGAGGAAGGAAACAGATCCAGTTTCCGAAACGCCGTGTTTTTATTTGTTATCTTAAAAACCAGGACGATGGATAAAGTCCAAAAACCCAACATATCAGTGAATATTCTAAAGTGTTCACTTAATTTATTCCTCTTAGGTTTGAGAATATCACATGAGATGGTAGATGAAGAACCACAAATAAGTCTAATGCTTAAGAGCTGGAGGTTTTCATGACAGTCGCCTTTGTCATATCACCGTTTAGTCTAGTAGACAACTTGTTTCATTTAGAAGTTCCGTCAGTAGCTCAAACTAAAAGCGTAGAATGCCAGGTCGATCAGCGAATAATTAATTAAAATGGGAAGGGGCCGTGGCCAAATATGAGCTACTATCTCGTCATTTTCCTTGAGAGAAACAATGAAAACCTTCAGTTAAGATTTTTTTATTGCAGTGGGGTGGGACCAAGTCCCTTGTACTCCGGCCACTTCTAGCCTATTGTACCAGCCCCAGATGATAGGTGAGGGAGATTGTGGAGCAATTGGTGGAATGAAGATTGGCAGGGGAAATCGAAGTACTCGGAGAAAACCTGCCCCAGCGCCACTCTGTCCACCACACATCCCACTTGACCAGAACCGTGATCGAACCCGGGCCGCCGCGGTGGGAAACCAGCGACTAACCGCTTGAGCTATGGCGCGGCCTTTTAGTTAAGATAGTCAGCTTCCAGTCCGACTTTCGAGTAGAGCGCGTCCTGAAAAGAAGCTTTTCCGCTTAAGCCAACTAGTTTTTCGCGGTAAGCCTAATCAAATATTAAAATTTCCATTGTGAATAAGCGGGCTTCGTAATATCCTCTGCGCTTTCCAAACCTAGTTGTAATTTGAATGTGTAATGTTTAATTTACATGTCTCTAAGTTTAGATTTACGCGCAGGAGAGATTTCGGAGGTCAGGTTGTAGAGCCAGGAGACACATGGCTACAAGTTGCAATTGTAAGCGAATTTAAATTAACAGGCATTATGTTAATTCGCCGTTCGTGTCACGAAAGTTGTGCTGTCCTTCTCACACCAGCGCAGATGACCATCTGCTACTGAGGTCAATTTTAAACCGAGGACGACAGGATTTTATTTCCGAGTTGACAAGAGTGCCGTTTAACTAATTTTCTTTAAGCTTTTTAAGCATTAAGTTTATCCAAGCAATATTTACAAAGTAATTTCCTACCTCACAGTAGACACCGCAAAGACCAGTCTCTTTGTAATAGAGATGTAGAGATTGTGAGAATCACATGGAACAAATAAGTTTACTGTACGGATAAAGGCAATAAAGGTAAAGTTGTCCCTGTGCTTAACGAATTAAGCACTACGCTATGAAGGCGTATGGGGAAGCGGATATATAGATCCACATTTTCTTGACCTCGGCACTAGTTGGAGGGGAGTGATCAGCTTCACGCCCCGGGGAAATAGACCCCGGTACCCATTGAATAGGAGGTTGTGTGGACCCCAGAGCCTCGGGACGACTTGGAGAAGAGAAAATTCTTGACCCTACCGGAACTCGAACTCCGACTCCTCCACCGTCCAGTCCGTAGCCAGTCGCTATACCGACCAATAGCGACTACGCTACCCCGGCTCATTACACTGTATGGGAGACTAGAATTTTTTAATGTTAAAGTTGGTACTACATGTAGTAACTACTGTAAATTTAAGGGTTAAATGTGGCATTATCATGATTTAACCATTTCCATGCTGTGATATTTTGGGTAGTTTAGAATAAAGACATGCCAAAGGACGCACATTTGCGTCCGAATCAAATACAAACACGTCATTGAACATACGTGAATATTTTTAGCATTACTAAGACTTTAGATAGAACTGAAAGTAGAATATATGTGAGATTTCCTCTAATGCCGTTAAATTCGTATTTTTAGCCACATCCACCAATTATGAAACCTGTATTTTACGTTAAGGTCATAAACGGACTTTTCTACGTACCCTACAAACAAAGCATTGATTGTAATTTGATATTGAACGTTATCGTTTTGTTGAAACATGATTTTTGTTTGTTTTACCAAATATATTTTGCATTTTACTGAAATACCTTTATATAAACAAGCCGTAAACAAGGTCAATTAATTGCAAGGAGGGCAAATGGGAATTCTGTATACTACATTATGGAGTATACAACGTTTCAATTTTTGTTTGTATAGTGGACATATGTGAAGATCTACTTTATCTTACAGGCGATTACACTGGGCCCATATTAACGGAATATTACATTTCCCCAACGCGTGTTTATCAGTGCCATACGGTTAGCTCAGACGGGTGGGCATTGACTTCACACGGCGGAGCCTCGGTTCAGTACTGGGTGACTTCATGTGAGGTTCGTGGTGGACGAAATGGCTAGAGAAGTTTTTCTTCCGAGTCTCTTCGGTTTCCCCTACTAGTCTTCATTCGACCATTGCTCCATATTCATCTATCATCACCTTCAGAGATGTGTGGCAGCCACGAGAAGGCAACGCATTATCATCTCCATGAAGGTCTGGGTTTCGTATCTGACCAGATATTGAGTGGTTACAAAGTCAGGAAGTTAAGTTTTTAACTTTTAGTTATGAAGGAATCTGGGTTAGGTTCCCTGCAAGGGCAGATCCCCCCCCCCACACACACACACAGCAAGCAGACCGGCTCTCGCGCCCACACAGCCAACTATCCAAAGAGTAACGCAAATTATTTTCGCCGGAGGTAAAACGGCCGGATCATGAAGCTGTCCACTCACGTTCGTATAAAGAATCATCCACTTTGCCAAATGTTTTCATGCCGTTTTGCTTAATTAAGCAAAGGAACAAATTTATTTCCCTGAGCACCAAATTTCGAGCAGATCCGTGAAGATGAAACATGGCGGCAGAGACCACTTACCACTGTGACTGTTATGAGAATACAGAGCAGGATGGCCAGACAGAGGTTCTGCCACGTGAGCTCCTTGTCCGCTGGCGCCCCGATGTCGGACCCATTGGAGCTGGGCGTTGTTACTTCGCCCGCCATCCGGCATCTCCTGAAATAGAGCACGACACTGAACTCGAAGATTCTCAGAATGAAAGGGGAAAGAAACAAAGAAGAAAGAAAGAAAGAAGGAAAGACGGAGGACAATGAAAAACCAAAGGGAGAGAAAGAGAACTGAAAATATGAAAAGAAGGACGGAAGAAAGGAACAGCGTTTCTGTATCTCTATTCTCCTAGGTTATGTCTCATGTTGACACTTTTAATTTCGGAGAGAGATTATCGTGACTTAGGGTTTTTTGGTGTCCGTAAGATCCTGCAGACATATTCCGGAATCATGCCTTAAATCGGGGCATTACTGCTTCCTTCTGCTTGCTTTCCATTTCATTATTAAATATTATCCAGTCCATGGACACTAGATAATCCCTGCTGCTAAAAACTTCGCTAAACCATAGACGCATAAAGTTCGTCTAAATTATATTTAACAATTCAGTTCCCACTTTACATAGAATAGGCCACGGCATTACAGAGACCATTCGGTTAATGCTGTTTAGAGAAACGATAGCCCTTTTTGTAAGGATCACACCCAACTCATAAAAACACTGGACGAAATGTAGAGGTTCTGTATGTTAAAGTAGGTGGTATGGAGTTCCACAACTACAGTTTAAATGTTAAATAAACTGCAAGAAAACAATACCAGATTTTTAAATGCAATGCTCTGTAGTCCGATAGAAAATTGCTGAAATTTCGGAGGATCATGCCGCCTCCACATTCAGGATCGAAAAATACGCGAAGCAAGTAGCCAGCAAGCTGCCGCTTCTTCCTGGTTACTTCCTTGATTAAATTTACTTTCCTGAAGATGGAACAGTATGTTCCTCTCAAATGTCAGTGAACTTCTATCGTACTACACGGCGTTATATTTTAGACGGCGGTTCATAATCATTACTGCGAGAACCTCGAATTCAAATATTAATTTTGTACTACATCGATCGTTCTGAACTGTCATTTGACATTACTACAAATTACAATTTCATCTGAATGTCTCTTTCAGTTTGGACGTCAGGCCATAATCTTTCCATTGCTGTTGCGATGACTGAACTATGAACCTCTACTGAAAAAATCCCCGCAACTGTAGTTAACGGGGACACGCGGTAGGGTTGTTGGTTGAGGAGCTAAGCTATATGCCGAAGGTCGCGGGTTCGAGTCCCGATAGGTGGATATTTCAATTGACCTAATACTTCTAGGTGCACTATGGCCCTTTGGGTCAACTCAGCCTCTAACAGAAATTAATACCAGGAATATTCTTGGGGGTAAAGCTTGGCCGCCGCGTAAGACTGACAACCTTACCGCCACCTGTGAGCTGATTGTCTAGAAAATGTGGGAAGGTCCACGTCTCACAACCCTATGGGCCTTCACGACCTGTTCCAGGGATAGCTTTACCCTTTTTATCTTTTTTATTATAGTTTACAGATTATCGTTTTTCAAACAATTTGTGTTTAATCTGCGTTCATTTTCCGTCACCCATCTTGTTCCGTGACGTATTAGTCTTCTAACTTGAACAACAGCATTCAACATGTCTTTTTGTGATGATTTTTAAATTTGTATCCTTTACAGCCTCCACTCCGATATTCTGAACCTACACTGAATAAACTGTTCCTCTTTTTGAGTGTTCACCATCACGAAGGACATTGATAACAGTACTAGGAGAGCAAATTCACTAAGCTATTCGTTGTACACAAAAGTAATACGTTGTGTTGAGTTAGTTTTAGCAGTGGGACGAGACAATGTCACATGATACTGCGGTCTCAAAGAGCCTAGTTAAAGTTGTCCCCGTGCTTAATTAATTAAGCAATATGCCATGAAGACAAATGGGGGAGTGGAGGTATAGTTCCACTCTTCTTGACCTCGTCATAAGGTGAAGGTGAGTGGTCAGTTTCATCCCTCGGTCGTTTTAAGCCCAAGAAAAATCGTCACTAGTACCCGTTGCACATGAGGCTGGGTGGGCCCCAGAGATGACCCGGACGTTGTGGAGAAGACAAAATGTCACTTATATTTTAATAAATAATTAACTAATAATATATATATTTTTTTTAAATATTAGAGAAATATACGAGTAAAGCAGAACAAAGCAGAGGAAACATTTTTGTAGGCCTATCACGTTTATTATCCGTCCAGTCGTTAGCCGTGTGCAAGTTGTTCTCATACTCAGTGAAGGCAAATGAATGCTTTTAATACAAAAATACATTAATAAGGGTCTCAGTTGAATACGCACTACATTCTTCCTAGGTGTTCCAATTAACAATTCCACTCGAAATATAACGATATACCGTATTTACGCGTGTATAGGCCGCAGCACAATTTTCAGACAGAAATTATAGAAAAAATAATTTTCTTGGAATATTATTTCAGGAGTAGAAATTATTCCGAAATTTGGCAACGTTTAACATTCCTAAGTTCGCAACTAGCGAAAATAACGGTACCGCTCGGAACAAAGGCATTGCGGGGGAGAGTTATAACCTTTTCGCCTTTACTTGACTTGCCTGGTTAGTTCTGAGTGAAATATGGGTCGAGTAAGAGCAGGTTATACGTCTAAATTTAAACTTCAAGTGGTGCGTTACGCACAAGAACACGGAAATCGAGCAGCAGGGAGAAAATTCGACGTTGACGAAAAAAATGTGTGTTATTTCGAATATAAGCCGCAACCCAGTTTTCCTCTTGAATTTTTGGCAAAAAATGTGCGGCCTATACATGCGTAAATACGGTATTCCTTTCTTTCATTTAACGACGAGTCATTACTAACGCCTGATCAGACTCATCGTCTTTAAAAAAAATGGACAAATTGTTGACGAGAATCTAGAGGAGTAACTTCATTTTCATGAAATGTGTCTGATTTTAATTAACTAATTTCACGGAACTGAGCGTTTCTTGAAAAGCGACAACTGTGCAGCTACTCAAGTACTTCCCAACATTTTATGGAATCCGGAGGTTCATTTCCGCGTTCATGAGAGCCTTCCACTGGTGCCTATTATAATAATAAGGAACTAACGACATGCATTCAGTTTCATTTCTATTTTTTCCCTTTTCTCTGAAAGCTATGAACATCGATTAATGACAGTTATATCTACAACTGAACCAAATGAGCACAAACGTTGATTTCATATAGGATTTCCTTTAATGTGGTGTATCGTTTTACCGGTGACATAATGATGTCTAAAAAACAGTGCATGTCGGACGTTCAACTGATCGAATGAAGCTCTGGAATAAGAGACGCGGAAGCATATATCAGTACCCAATTAACTTTCCCTTCCGGCAGTCTCTCAGTCCGTACACATCTTGGGGAAAGAAACATCGATGAATTTTCATATATAGGATATTTATGTAAACAAGAAGTTCTAGGAAGAAAGAATGACCTACTTTCCTTTGGTACAACACGGAAGACATATAAAACGACACGTCCAACCCTTCTATTCTGACGCGTGTATTCCTTGCCGCTGTAACGTTTTTGTTGAGCCGTTGCCTAGCAATGATGCGGAGATACAAATACAGACGCACAGATTGATGGGAGGGCTTTATGAAGTACGTCGTTGAGATGGGCTCAGGTGCCCAGTTTCATAAAGACTGGTTCAGACATTCCGAAGTCAACAGTGGGGATTAACAGACAGCAAGGTGATCTCATAAGCCTACTTTTATTTTTTAAAACTAAAGAATGTAGGCTAAACTGATTCATATTCATATTATGCTCATGTTTACGCCTCTCTGGTTTCCCTGAATACATCCCGTTTCCAGTCCTTTGAATACATTCATGTTCCCCCAGCGCCATGCATTTCCATCTCATTGCAACCCCCTGATTTATTTTGCCCAACTACTAAGTGTATCTGATCCAACGGGTAACGGGGGTAAAGCGGTAGGGGCTCGTAGCTGATCGTTCACCTCCATTTTGAGCCCAGGTCAAGATTACGTGGATCCATACATCCACTCCCCCATAGCGCAGAACTTAATTAGTTAATCATAGGGATTATTTTACTGTCTCTACACCCCCCTTGGGCCCTGGCCCCTGATTTTAAGTTTCATGATCATTTTACAGACGGTAGGACTCCTTGGACGGGTGATCAGTTCGTCACAAGGCCTCTACCCAAACACAGGGCAACACAAACACAGAATAAACATATACACACGCCAAACATCCATGCTTTGTGTGTGATTCGAACCCACGATTCCAGCTTCCGAGCGAGCGAAGACAGTACATGCTTTAGAACTTTCGGCTAACGTGACCGGCCATAGGGAAAACTTTACCTCTTACTAGGTGTAAATTTTGTTGTTATATCTGTCATAGTATGAAATGTGAATACTATAGGATAATATTAAAATATATCTTAATACACAAGGCGTGGGTTTATGGATTGAATTCAGCTGGCTCTGAATAAGTTCCATTAGTGAGTTAAGCGTATGACATTAATGGCAGTTTTCGCCACAGAGCCTGGACATTTCATGTTACTGTGGCAAAAACTGAGAGAACTGGCCTGCTTTTAACTGAAGGGTGAGGGAGGCAGGAAAGAATTTATCATCGCCTCAGACTCCGTTTAGATTTACGCCGGTCCTACCTCTTATGAATGTATGTAGCACTGGTATTGAAACTCCGGGTTTCACTACGGGCAGAGAATTTCTGAACTATCTAAGCTACTATTAGCTTGCCCGTGCCATAGCTCAAGCGGTTAGTCGCTGGCTTCCAACCGCGGGGGACCGGGTTCGATCCCGGGTCTGGTCAAGTGGGATTTGTGGTGGACAAAGTGGCGTTGGGGCAGGTTTCTCCGAGTACTTCGGTTTCCCCTGNAATAATAATAATACTTTGCGACTGATATTAACAAAACGTCCTTACCTGTGAACGTTTTGCTCGGCATCTCAATCCATCTTTGTCGTGTTCATAGTTCAGACATTTGTCCATTTAACACATTTCACGTTTATCACAGAATAAACACTTCACTCAGTTATATGTCTGCTTCATTGTTACATGCGTCCTACAGCATTTAAACATACCTGTTTAAAATCGTGCTAAAGC